AACTTCAGAAAAAGAAGAAATGCATCAAGTGAACCTGAAAAGATAAGTCTGGTTAACATCATATATCATTTTACTTAGAGTAGCAGTAAAGATGACAACTTCATTATCTTTCAATAGAAAAATAACCAACAGACTCATAAGTGCTACAGTAATCTTGTCTTAGCTACAAGTAAATAAATACCTGGTATGGGTCAAATACTTCAGTCTCAGAAACTTGCAGAAAAGTCGCTAAACAAACAAGCTGCCATGAAAATAACCAATAAGCTTAGCTAAAAGCGATTCAGAAACAAATCCATCACAAGAAAGATTTGCGCAAAAATGTTACAGTTGACTAACCTTAACCAATGCAGTAGCAAGGTAAACTACAGCAGCTTTCACGGAGGTTCCAAGTGTATCATATTCAGATCTGCAGATTCACTTTCCGATTACAAACTATAACCCTAACATAAAATTCTAATTCCGTGAAGAAACCATAACAATACACAAAGTCAATTTGTGAACTTCTCAATAACTAAGTTCCGCAGAAACCTATATACTACGTCTAAGATTCTAGATCCCGAAGTTTACAAGTAAGAGATTGTTGTACGCGAAAGAAGATCTAAGTACAATCTTAGATTAGGTATGACTAAACGAAAAGAGATTACAATTTGAGATCACAGATCGAGAAAGAGGATTTGTTCATACAAGGGAGTGGCGGAGTAGTAGACGGCGTGAGGACCGAATGTGAGAATCGCACAGTTGAAGAAGTGAAAAAGCGTCATCGTCCACCGTCGCTCTCTGTTTCTCCGGTACCAAATCAGAAGCTACAGCTCCGGCGGCTCAAAGACGACGACGTGAAGCTGTGAAATTGAAGAAGAAGAGGTTTGTGATCTCTGAAACTCTGATGGAATCAACAAAAATCTTAATGGGTTTCATTTTGGGTCATTATTGGGCCGTCAAATTTTTTGTTCATTTTTCTTGAAAGCTAGTTTTCTTTTCATATGGTTTGCACAAAAAAAAAGGTATATCTTTGTTGTAAAATGAAATGAAATTGGTTTTTTTTTTTTTTTGGTTAGCTGAAATTTGTTTACAAAAGAATGAAATTACATAGTAATAACCAATAATTTGAATTTGGTTACTTTAATTTTGAGTTCTATATATAACCAATAATTTAATCCATATTTGATTTTGTGTTAAACAGTTTCTAAATTTTATTCTTTCTAAAACTTAGAAGTGTTAGTTATCGATATGAATTTTAATATATTTTGAGTAATCCATTTAAATTTTTTTTGAATTTGAATTTTAATATATTTTGAGTTTTAAATCTGTTTTAAATTTTTTGAATAATTAGAATTTTATTATTCAGCGTTCATGTTATTCACTATTTAAGAGCATCTCCATCAATGGTGTCTCATTGAGAAACTATCTCTTAAAAAAATATAAAAAAATTAAAAAAGTAAGAAAGAGAAAGGAGAGAATGTCTCAGAATGTCTGATTTGAGAAACTCTGAGAAACCCACTAAACCACTTGTTTTTCATCTATTGGTTCAATTTTATATTTATGATTAAAAAAATAATTATATAACTGAAATATATTAAAATACTAATATTTTTTTGTTTGAGAAACTCAAAAAGTATCTCACTGTTGGAGATGGTAACGCGTAAAACATTCAAGCCGATTGTCTAGTTCCCGATTAATTGTTATTTTGGCCAAAAAATTTCAGACTACTTAATACATATATATGATTTTTTTGAATACTATAATTCTGTAGTGTTTTGAAGGACTTGCCCAAACAATTTTTTTATATAAAAAATCATTTTCTAATGAAATTTAATATAGAGGAAACTATATGAAAAAGGTAAGAATTAAAAGGGGGAAAAAAAATTCATATGTAACAAAAACAGCAACTGAAAAAAACGTCTAAAGCCTATATAAAAACCACATCACCACTCTCACAACATCCCCTTCTCTTTCGCTTTCTCTCTTCTCTCCCATTAACTTCTCTCTCGTTTTCTCATAGTCTCAACTTAATGCCGTCGGAACCAAACCAAACCCGACCCACCAGAATTCAGCCCTCTACGGCGGCTTACCCACCTCCAAATCTGGCTGAGCCTCTCCCATGTCCTCGCTGCAACTCCACCACCACCAAGTTCTGTTACTACAACAACTACAATCTTGCTCAGCCTCGTTACTTCTGCAAATCTTGCCGCCGTTACTGGACTCAAGGTGGTACACTCCGTGACGTCCCCGTCGGTGGTGGAACTCGTCGGAGCTCTTCAAAACGTCACCGCTCTTTCTCCACTACCGCAACCTCCTCTTCCTCCTCTTCTTCCGTCATCACCACGACCAAAGAAGCAGCCACAAATGAGACGAAGGGTAGTAATGTAATTTCAGGTCATGGAAGCTTTGCTTCTCTGTTGGGTTTAGGAAGTGGAAATGGTGGGTTGGATTTCGGGTTTGGGTATGGGTACGGGTACGGGCACGGGCACGGGCTTGAGGATATGAGTGTTGGGTATCTTGGAGACTCCTCCGGAGTAGAGATTCCGGTGGTTGATGGTGGTGGTGGTGACACGTGGCAGATTGGGGAGATTGAAGGTAAAAGTGGAGGAGACAGTTTAATATGGCCTGGTCTTGAGATCTCAATGCAAACCAACGATGTTAAGTGAAATTGAAACCGTTTCTGATTTCTTGTCTTTGTCTTCTTTTGTTTGTGTCTTTTTGGAATTTTCTGTTTGTTTTCTTTTTTTCCTAAAAAGAAGAGCAAAGAAACCAAATTGAAGCAAATTTTTCTTAGTTTTTGAGGTCCAACAATGGTGGTGTATAAATCCTCTGTTTCTTTGACGAACATATTGGAATGGATTTATGAGTAAAAAAGTAAAAAAAAAAAAATTATTTCTTTTGATTTTTGGTTGGTTAAATTTTGAAAGGTATAGTCAAATGTAGAAAGATGAATTGAGCATATAAGTCCAAAAAGGAAAAAAGTACATAAGTACTGTTGCAGAAGTGAGTAAGAGATACTCTGTTGCTACATCTTTGAAATGAGGAAATTGCGTTGAACTTAATTTTGTTTTTATTATAGATAAACATCAACTACAACATTGTTCATTTGCAGTGTAAAAGATTTTGTATATCAAGTCATGTGAGTCTAGTGTTTAGTATATAAGACAATTCATAAGAATGTTTTAAAAAAAAGTTTCATTCGATCAATGGATTGGAAATTTTTAGGGTTAATTTAGATTATGGTGTACTTATCAGGTTTAATCCTTAGTGTTATTATTTTTTTTTTGTCAAACTATTAAACTATAGTGTACTAGGTTAAACGTTAAAAACAAAATTTGAATGTAGGAATTATAGCTAATAGATATTGTTGTGTAGTCTCCTATTGTGGTCAAAGCAAAAAAAAAAACAAATTGCGTTTAGGTTTAGGTTTGATACCAACATTATGACCCAAGGACATATATAGAGAATGATGTTTAGGTTTGATACCAGCTAATAGAACTTTTGCCCGCATAAATCAATCAACCATGTTCAGTGAGAGCGCCCAAGCATCTGTGGTCTAGTGGCAGAGGAAGCTTTGGGAAAGGGTGAAACTTCCAAACCTGAGTTCGATTCTCCCTGGAAACAAAAACACATTTGTTTGGGAAGTCTGTCAGTTGGGCTTTGGTCCAATTGGTTTACCTGGTAGCCAGAAATGCAGGCGGCCTGACTACCCCTGCCACTTAGTCGGAAGGCATTCCAAACTCGGGATAGGCAGAGTGGTAGCCCGTAAGGGCCTAACCGTTAACACGGTGGACCAGTCCACTATGTAACACTTTGGTGCGTTCTTACCGAGGCCGACCGGATAACCGATAGGGTTTATCAAAAAAAAAAAAATAATAATAAAAAAATAATAATAATAAATAAATGTTCAGTGAGAGCGTAATCAGCTCCATTTAATTGTATGTCTCAGTAACTTAGTTTGAGTCATTGTTAGAGCAAACGCAATGGCGTAATTGAGACATGGGTGTAAGTTATAAACAATTGAGAAATATTGCAAAAGTTACATTTTCAACAAAAACCGGTTGTAGACTTACACTCAAGTGTGAGGCATTATAAAAATAGAAAAAAATGTATTCTCTCTATCCGTCTCTATCTCTCTCTCTCTCTTTTATCTCTTTCTCTTTTAATTATAATAATAAACAATTACTTACACCCACAATTACACATGCTCCACTGCGTTTGCTCTTATCCTTTCTCCACCAACACAAGGTATGTAGAGCCCGGGCCCAACATTAATTTGAGCTTTAGGACAATTTTTTTTTTTGGATCTTTTGTTAAATGAAAAAAGGTTGGACATTTTTGGAACTTTTTACAAGTAAATTTTGAGCACTTTTAACATTTTTTGAAAATATAAATTCTTTTTGTAAAAATACAAGCCAATTAGAAAAAATTTGGACTTTTTAATATATTTATAAGGAATCAAAATTTTTTATCAAGTATTTTTTGGTCCATCTATTTTTTTCTAAAAAACCTGAGCTTTTTTCTTTCGTAATTTTTTTTGGTAAATACTCCATAAGCTTTGCGCCGTCGTACCTCGCCCCACCATATTAGACCGGATATGTATATTCTTCGTTGTTCTCCACGAGAAAGGACTCTCTTACGACTTTATCACAAAATCGAAAGTATAGTATTTTACACACATGTGACTAAAGTAATTGTGTAACGCAAGGCATATTAGATCCAAGTTAATTTATCATCGGTGTTAACTTAGGTTTATGGTTGATGACTTGATGTATAGGGAAAACGAAGTTGAACAATCTATAAAGCTAATAACAAAAAACACAAACTAATTATGCGATCTATATATGTTAATACGTGAGTTACCGGATATAGTAAATTTGCTTTTGAGTGGAGTCTACACCACTAATTTTACACTACTCATAAATTTTGCTTCGTTTATATATTGGAGAATATAATATCTTTCTAATCTGTTTGGTGTGATAACGTTATATTTCGAATTAAATGTGTAACATTTTCAAGAATTTTTTTTTTTTTTTTTAAATAGACATCTTTATTATAAAATTCTCCCAAATGGGCCTGAGCCGAACAACAACAAAAGCCAAGACCAGTTACAAAATAGCAAATCGGCGTTTCACCGGAAGAAAAAGAAGCTCGCCGTTTGTTGATAGATGCCCGCAGAGCAACCGGAGCCTGACATCCGGCGGGCTCAAGACCCACAGTTTTGTGGCTACAACCGAAGACCGTGAAATATCGGCGAAAGAGACCGGTTTCCGCCATCAATTACATACCTCTGACGAACCAACCCACCACAAGTCTCACGGAAAGCTAGTCACTCCGACTAAGCACATCGACGGAAACAGATCCTAAAGAAGCAATCCGACTCACTAGACGGAAACCCCTCTCTTCCAGACCGGAAAAACAAACCAAGATCCCAGAGCTTTGACGAATCAATCCGGCTCGATGGCTGCTAAATTGTGGCGGATCTAAAGGATGGTGGCTCAAATCCAAACCCCGTACACCCGAAATCCACAACCGCCCTCTAAGATCCTATGGATCTGCAGCTAACCACCGAGCAAACAACGAACCCACCTTAATCCCCCCCAACTTCCGCCGTGAACGCAACTTGAGACTGACGGTTGAGCCGGAGGAACTGAGCCACTCACGACGTCCCAACCATGAGAGAACTGTTGCAGTAGACCTCCTCCAATCAGACCCGAGTCACCTCCACATCGAAGGGAAAACGCCACACCACCGTTGACAGAGAAACTGATGTGATCATGGGAAGCTTGGGTCAAGGAACTAAGGAACAGCTTGAACCAGAGGAGGTACTCGACCACATGCTCGACCACCAGGAGGACAATGCGATCGAGTATGCTGATGCTGAACCAGATGATGTACTCGACCACATGCTCGACCACCAGGAGGACAATGTGATCAAGTATACTAATGCACCAAGGAAGTACTCGACCATGCAGGGAGCTAAGGAGCATGAAGCACTTGAAACTAAAGAGGATATGTCATTGCAAGTTGCTACTGGACCAATGACAAGATCAAAGACTAAGTTGTTGAATCAAGCTATCAACACACTTCTACAACACATTGAAGGCACCCTTAAACCGGAAGCTTGTCCAACCACGTTGGTTGTGATTCAAGCCGTTTAAGTGACATCATTGGAGGTGTGTGACTTGCACTCTTTTTCACTCCTCTTGGTTTTGTCCAAATGGGTTTTCCAAGAGAGGTTTTTAACGAGGCAAGCTCACACACTCATATTCGAGCCCAATGATGTCTCGCAGCCCATTACCAAAGGAGAAGCCCATGACAAATTCGAAATCAGTCTTGTGTGTGTTTAATTTCGTTTCTTTCCCGAGAATAACTCTTCATCTTCCTAGAACTCTCTTCTTCTTCTTTATATTTCGTTTCTTCTCCTTTGTAAACGTTATCAAACAATTTCTTATCAATCATCTTTTTTGATTTCGTTTGATCTTGAGTTTGAGTGTGTAATATCTCGAATTCATCTTGAGACTGCTCTTGGTGTGTCATATCCAAGCAGAATCAAGTCTGGAAGTTCAAAGGAGTCTCGCAGCCTTTGGAAGTTCTACTCGACCCCTCAACTCCTCTTATACTCGATCTCACCTTCATCATTTGATCCATTCGTTTTCACCATCACTTGATCATTCAAACCATCAATCTTCGTCATACTTGATCTCACCCTCATTCACTCGATCACAAGCCACTCAAACAATCCAGTTTCACCGTTTCGTTGTTTTTACTCGATCACACTCCTTTATCACCACTCGACCATTCTACTCGACCTCATCACCAAAGTACTCAACCCCCTCTTCACAAGACTACTCGATCACCATCAATCACACCGTATTCGATCCGCCTCCTCACCTACTCGACTCCTTACTCGATCTCATCCACTTCACTCTTACTCATTCCGCATCATTTTAACTTGATCTATTCAACCACTACACGAAGTGCATCAAGGGACTAAGATCTTCTAACTAGGATCATATTAAGTGGTATCAGAGCCACTTCGTGTCAGGTTGTATCAATCTAAACTTTTCATCTTCTGATTTGTTCTTGCGAAATTGTTTCATCGTTCTAGGCTTGAATACTTATCCGATCTGTATGAAACTTGTTAAATCATTTAGATCACGTTCTGAACTGTTTAATTACGTACTCGATCTAGTAATTAGGAACAAAACGATTCGTCTTCCATGCTTGCTCGATTAGGGTTCAATAGAAACTATTTAGGGTTTTGAATTTTCAGACTCTATTGTTTGTTGCTCGATTTACAAGGAACACTTTACTGGTTTTCTTTGTTTTAATCATTGCAGACATGTCTGATAAGGACAAGGAAGAAAGCAGTCAGGTACAGAACAACAAGTTGTTGCTGGAAGCTCTTACAGCAACTCTCACAGCTACTCTTACTGCTAACATGGCAAAAATGATGGACGAAAGGTTTGAAGCTAATGAGAGATCAACCCAGGGCAGACAGAACAGAGATACTAGAAATCCTTCTGATCAAGAGGCGGCACACAACTATTACAGCCAAACCTCTACTCGTAACAGCCATAGAAGGAGAAGACATCACAGAGAAGAAAGAGCTCTACCTAGAGATGACCTAGCTAGCTTGAAGATACGGATTCCTTCTTTCCAGGGAACCAGTGACCCTGAGGAGTACTTAGAATGGGAAAAAAAGATTGAGCTAGTATTCGGTTGTCAAGGTTATACAGAGGAGCGTAAAGTGAAACTGGCACCAACAGGGTTCCAGAACTACGCATTGAGTTGGTGGGATCAATTGGTCACCACAAGAAGACGTGCCAGAGATTACCCAATTGAGACATGGACTCAGATAAAGACTATAATGAGGAAGAGATTCGTGCCCAGCCACTACCACAGAGAGCTACACAATAGATTGAGGAACCTAGTCCAAGGAAGTAGATCAGTTGAAGAATACTACAAAGAGATGGAGACATTGATGTTGAGAGCAGATATTCAAGAGGATGAAGAAGCTACAATGTCTAGATTCATGGGAGGTCTGAACAGAGATATCATTGACAAAGTAGAAGTTCAACACTACGTGGAACTAGATGAGCTGCTACACAAAGCAATCATGTTTGAGAAGCAACTTAAAAGGAGAAACTCTAACCCTAGCTTTGGATCAGTCAAGTCCAGTTTTAGTTCAGGAAAGCCTAGCTACCAAAGGGATGAGCGTTCGGGACTTAAGAGAGACTACAAACCCTTTATCAAGCCAAATGTTGATGATCAAGATCAGAAAGGAAAGGGTAAAGCTGTTGTGACCAGAACCAGAGATATCAAGTGTTTTATAAGTGTCAGGGACATGGTCATTACGCTAGTGAATGCTCAAACAAGAGAATCATGATACTGAAAGATACTGGTGAAATAGAGTCAGAAGATGAGCAGCAAGAAGAGAACTCATCATCAGAAGACTGTGAAGCGCCATCTAAAGGAGAGCTGCTGGTTGCCATGAAGACTTTGAGTGTTATTGCTAAGACATGAGCAAGAGCAAAGAGAAAATCTGTTTCACTCAAGATGTATTGTCAATAACAAGGTCTGTAGCTTAATCATAGATGGAGGAAGCTGCACCAACGTTGCCAGTGAGGCCATGGTGGAGAAACTTGGTCTAAAGGTCATGAAGCATCCGAAGCCATACAAATTGCAGTGGCTAAATGAGGATAGAGAAATGAGCGTGAGCAGACAAGTGAAGGTACCATTGTCTATTGGAAAGTATGAGGATGAAATTTTGTGTGACATACTGCCTATGGACGCTAGTCACATTCTATTGGGAAGACCATGGCAGTCAGACCGAAGAGTAATGCATGATGGCTTCACCAATCGTCAAATCTTTGAGTTCAAGGGCAGAAAAACCATACTGGCTCCAATGACTCCGCATGAGGTATATCTTGACCAGTTGAGTATGAAAATGAGGAGGAAACAAAAGGAAAAATCATCTAACCTCATGATCACTGAGAGTAAGCAAAGGGGAAGTAATATACATTCATCTAAATTACTCTTTGTTTTTAAGGAGACTCTTGTAAGTATCACTAACCCTGAGCAGGCCATTCCTAGCAAAATTAAGTGTCTATTGCAGGAATATACTGATGTGTTTCCAGAGGAGAACCCTGAAGGCTTACCACCCATCAGAGGCATCGATCATCAGATAGATTTTGTTCCAGGAGCCTCTTTGCCAAACAGACCAGCTTACAGAACTAATCCTGTGGAGACCAAGGAGCTAGAAAAACAAGTGACTGAGCTAATGGAGAGAGGCCATATTCGTGAGAGTATGAGTCCCTGTGCTGTACCTGTATTGCTTGTGCCTAAGAAGGATGGAAGCTGGAGAATGTGTGTTGACTGCAGAGCCATCAACAACATAACAGTGAAGTATCGCCATCCTATACCTAGATTAGATGACATGTTAGACGAATTGCATGGTTCTAGCGTCTTTTCTAAGGTAGATTTGAAAAGCGGATATCATCAAATTAGGATGAAAGAAGGCGATGAGTGGAAAACTGCATTTAAGACTAAGAAAGGGTTGTATGAATGGTTAGTGATGCCATTCGGGCTGACAAATGCACCTAGTACATTCATGAGGCTAATGAATCATGTTCTTAGAGCTTATATAGGACATTTCGTTGTAGTGTACTTTGATGATATCCTAGTCTACAGCAAGAGTCTAGAAGAGCATGTAGATCATCTGAAAATGGTTCTAGAAGTCCTTAGGAAGGAAAAGCTTTATGCCAATCTTAAGAAATGTACTTTTGGAATAGATAACCTTGTCTTCTTAGGTTTTTTTGTGAGTACAGATGGAGTAAAAGTTGACGAAGAGAAGGTTAAGGCAATCCGTGAATGGCCCAGTCCGAAATCTGTAGGAGAAGTGAGAAGCTTCCATGGACTTGCTGGCTTCTATAGGCGGTTTGTAAAGGATTTTAGCACTCTAGCAGCTCCTCTCACTGAAGTTATCAAGAAGAATGTGGGATTCAAGTGGGAACGAGCTCAAGAGGATGCTTTCCAGGCCTTGAAAGAGAAGCTTACTAATGCCCCTGTCTTATCTCTCCCTGATTTTATTAAAACTTTTGAGATTGAATGTGATGCCTCCGGGGTAGGAATTGGTGCTGTCTTAATGCAGGATAAGAAGCCAATAGCTTATTTCAGTGAAAAGCTAGGGGGAGCTACTCTCAATTATCCTACTTATGACAAGGAGCTTTACGCTTTGGTTAGAGCACTACAGACATGGCAGCACTATCTCTGGCCTAAGGAGTTTATCATTCACACAGATCATGAGTCCTTAAAGCATCTCAAAGGATAACAGAAGCTCAACAAGCGGCATGCAAGGTGGGTTGAATTCATTGAGACCTTTCCCTATGTCATCAAATACAAAAAAAGGTAAGGACAATGTAGTTGCCGATGCATTGTCACGGAGGTATGTTCTTCTCTCATCTCTTGATGCTAAGTTACTCGGGTTTGAGCACATAAAATCTCTATATGCAAATGATTCTGATTTTGGAAAAATATATTCATCTTGTGAGAAGTTTGCATTTGGAAAGTATTATAGACATGACGGGTTCTTGTTTTATGATAACCGTTTGTGTGTCCCTAATTCTTCTTTGAGAGAGCTGTTTGTAAGGGAAGCACACGGTGGAGGTTTAATGGGACACTTTGGAGTCTCAAAAACTCTTAAAGTCATGCAAGATCACTTTCACTGGCCGCATATGAAGAGAGATGTGGAGAAAATGTGTGGAAGATGCTCGACATGTAAACAAGCTAAGGCTAAGTCACAACCCCACGGTTTGTATACTCCTCTTCCTATTCCTTTGCATCCTTGGAATGATATTTCTATGGACTTTGTAGTAGGTTTGCCAAGGACCAGGACATGTAAGG